CGGAACAACCTTTGTCCTAATGAGGTACTGGAATCCCCACTACAATACTATAGTTTCAACATAGCTGATCTACATCACCCATATAATATAAAGTGCATGAGTGTACTTGTGTGAGAGTTTCATAAGCTTAACTCTGGAACCACCAAACATCATCACCATCAGACTACTTCTCATCTCAAAGAACCTTCTATAAAATGCCATCATCCTGCATCACATTATGAAACTAAAATCATGAATCTTATGTCCAAAACAGAATCTACCAAAGACAGTTCATCTGAGTTTTTTCATTCAACAACTCCAGTTTGTACTGTTCTGTCTCAGGTAGAAAATGAAATCAGAAACATCTAAGTTTCACTTGATTATTTCACTACTTGTTTAACAGATGAAGCCAAAGCTCTTCAGAGTGTTACAGAAAGTAGTCTTGTAGATTTTCTTTATTATTTTCTCTCATCATCAGACTAATCTCTGTCTAGATCAATCTTACATCTTCCATCAACTGTCTGACTAACATTGTCTTCTCTGGTTTCTGAAGTATTGTAGACACAATTCATTCTTCTTGTGACTCTTTATCTGTTAAGCCTACTTCCATTGCAGTACCATCTATCATCATACCACTGGTTCTGGTGACTCCAGAACCACATCCATCTTTGGCTGGTTCACCTCTATTGTGGCTGTGTTTTGGGCACTCTTGTGGTACCACTTCTTATCACTAGTTATTTGGTTTCATTACACATGATAATCTTTAGCCTGTCTAGCCTTCTTTTTGTATATAGATTTGTTCATCTTAGAATGACTTTACTTCTTTTATAGATAATTCTTAAGGACTTCTTGTGTGTTTTCAAGGTTTTTCTCAGGTTCTCACATCAATTTCTCAATAGGAAATCCCTTTCATTTCACTAGGTAGCATTTCTTGTGATAGCACACTTTGTCATCCAAGATTTTGTCTACTTCCCACTTATGATAGTCATCTACTAGTACTGCAGAAGGGTATGTTGGCACCTCATCTGTTCTTGTATAATATGATTTCAGTAATGAGACATGAAAAACATTATGAATCTGATAGCTCAGAGAGAGCTTCAGTCAATATGCATTATTTTCTATAATTTTTATTATTGAGAAAGATCTGTAGTACTTGTTGTTTAACTTCTTGCAAGAATATATTGTTTATAGATTTCTTAATGACAACATCACTTCATTATCAGGTGCATACACTTTATCTTGATATCTTCAGTTATAGAACCATGCTTGATTCTCTTTTGCTTTCATCAAATATTCTATCAGACTATTTCTTAACACAGAGATCATTCTCAGTCTTTTATTAGGTGTTGTCTGTGCATCATCATCATCATTAATCAACTTCTGAATCTTATCTGGTTCTCTAGATTTGAAGCTGTACATTGCTTTGAACAGAGATATGTGCATTATAGAGTATTCTGATCTATTGTATGCAAATTCTGCATACACAAGCCACTTCTCCCAATTATCTTGTCTATAACTACAATAAGCACAAAGATATCCCTCCAAAATCTTGTTCAGTGCCTCTGTTTGGCTGTCCATTTGTGGGTGGAATGCTATGCTAAGTTTTTGTCTAACTTTTATGTGAAAACATAGCTCTGATCAGTATTTACTTGTGAAAACAGATCCCCAGTCCAAAACAATATTATTTGGAAATCCAAAGTCTTTAAACACTCTTCTGAATAGAAGGTTTGCTATCTCTGGTACATCAATCTTCTTTCTACACACAAGAAAATGTGCAAGCTTCATAAATCAATCCACAACAATCAGAACTGCATTATATGGGTTCAGGACGAACCTTTGCGCATCTCCCTGTATTTCCGGCGTTAACGAGTAATAGCGTATTTTGAATCGTTAGGAGGAGGAAGCTGAGATATATAAAAATGGGTTCCCCAGGCCACTGGGGTGAGCCTGCAACTCGGCTCGGATTTCATTTTTTTTTCAGAGATTAGGATACGAAGCTGTAAGTAGCTACCCTTTCATTACCTTCTCATTACCTTCTCATCACCTTTGCTAACATGAGCCGAAGAGTGCAGAAGCCACCATCGAGACAGCACATCTAGTATTCCATTTGCTGTCGAGTAAGCCGCCGCTGGGTGACGGAGAAATACAGAACGTTGGAGTTGAGCAATCTAACTTATTCAGCAGGATGTCCGCCAGCTCAGGTGTAAACGGATGGTGTGATGTCTGCCGGCATCCCAACAACGAGCATAATTATTACACCTGTACCGCCACAGGCTGCCGGAAAAAATTCAAAATCTGCCAGACTGGCAGCCATGTGGAATTCAATATCACTGGACATGAATATGTGCTGTGCAAGTGGTGCCCTAATCATCCCTACAGCTCCCCTTACAACGTCACCGATATGCCCCGGCTATACAAATAACAAAACATCCCGATATCGATGTAGATAAATCTTGGGTGGCTGGGACACTGGCTCAAGAGATACGTGTAGTTAATTCTAACTTATTCGTAAGAAACACGACTTGGTTGTTTCGAATTTGTACTTTGCAGTTCCCCTAATTAGGCGCCTGCATCCAGGGAACACTCAGGCAAGTTTGTTAACTAACCACTTGTGGTTAGCTGACAAGCCAAAGGCCCAGTTTAACTTAAATACTCCAATCCGCTCTGGAGTTCATTTATTTTCATACACCTCATCTCAGACACGCCGACGCTTCTACCTCTCTTCATCCCTTTGCAATACCATCTGCCATGGAGCCTGAAGATGCTGTACGTCCAAGCCCTGAGAAGAGCCGAGCCGTGTATGAACAAGGCTTTTGTATTTGGACAAGGCTTCACACTCGCGCTCGACAGGAACCCAGCCTGCCCCAAATTTGTTTCCACCTGCAGGCCGCAGTTCGAAAGTTACCTCCCTTGGTCTCTGATCTGGATCTGAAGTGCAAGTATGCTTGTCTCTACGCGACCGGAACGTCAATTTGGGGAACTTCGCGGGGGCAATGCAAGATACCTCTTGTGGAGAAAAGACTTGAGCTACCAGTTTCTATCAACCACTCGACGCAACTTGCTCTCTCTGAAAGCCTGGAGCCAGTCTATCAGAAATGGTTTAATCATGAACATAATCACCTTTCTGTGCTAATATTGGCATGGAGCTACATATTTTCAGCGCGTTGGGTCGAGCTCATTCCTGGAGCCGAGCTGACTTATACTGAGAAGTACGCGGAATATGGCAACAACAAAAGAGACGAACGACCCGGAGTCATGGTGAATGTAGGAGATGTCGACGATGATGCAGCCAGATGGTGGGCCGCTGTTTTGTCTCCTGGTGAGGGCTGGGAGGCTCACCTAACAAGGGAGCGAACAAAATTCCGATCACCTTGGTCGACTGCTTTGGAAACAAGGCTGAAATTTACGCTTTCCTGCGGCAGATCCCGCTGCCATACGTCAACTACCGCACCTTCGTTCACCACTGCCCTTCGTTTTCTCGCAGAATACTGCGATCTACACAACATTGTTGACCAAACTCTGGCGGCGCTCTCTTCAACGTTGTTTCTTCCTTCGTTGAATACAAAGAAAAGCCCAACATTGCTCCCGAAACCCGATTCTCATAAGAGGCAAAGGCTGGAGCTACCCGTATCAGAGCCAACCAAGCAGAAGCCACTTGGCTTTATATTGGAGGAGATAGCGCCGGAGCTGGACAAACTATTGACACTGAGTTGCAACACACGGGGTCTACGCTCTCTTTTGTCGAGTGTATTTTATGAACCTGGAATACCTTGCAATGCCGTGAGCCCATGGCTGCAATCTACGTTCGCTGTTCTTGACTCTGTGGTGGATGACCATCTACTTGCTCATATCCTGATGAGCCGAGTCCCGCAAATTTCCTTCCTCTGGCTTGGGGGTATAGTTACGGGTAGTCACAAGAACGTCCTCCAGGATGGTCGATTCGGCCTCATACCAATTGAACTCCATGCTGCATCATGGTGTGATGTCACACAATCGTTTTTACAGGAACCTGTCTCTGAACCGCCAATAAGTAATGGGGCGCTTTCACGATCAGATGAGTGCCGACTTCTCTATCTGGTCCAAGAAGAACGGCACAGTCGGTGGCCGGTGTCTCCATGGATGCCTTTCGGCACCATGGCGCTCGACGATGCTGAAGTTGAAGTCCGTCTACATGCACAGTGTACTGGTCACGGTCTCCAATATGCGGGTTGGCGTTGGGCGTGTCGAGATGGTACACTGATACATCCCTTGTGCGTTGAAACCGCTATACCTACCCATTCACCGGCACGGCACCCGGCAATAAATACGCCCATCAGATACGAAGCTCTGAATCTCGAGGAAGAATCAGCTTCAGAAAATGCTACAAGAAATATCTTTGGCTGGCTCCGAGTTGATGGATATCCCCCACGGGAGCGAGAAATAAGTAACCACGAGTGGATTAATCTTGATGAATCTGATAATGAATCACCATCCCTGAATGAGTCACCGAGGAGTCACACCGCCCCAGCATCAAAAGCCGTGGAAGATTGGATACAACAGAGCACTCTGGCACCTGAACCAATAACGGATTCTTCACCGATTTGATCCTTCCTGACATCTGTCCGGGCTGACTTCTTCTGGTAGCCAAGCTTGTTTTCTTTCAGTGTCCAAATGTGTATGATAGATGGGATTAGTTCAATTCTTTTTGAACCGCAATTATGGCCGATGAGTTGTGGTTCGAGACGCCCAGAATGGAGTCGCCTGAAATGGAAGACGGTTGAAATGGAGATGTCTGGAATGGAGACGCCCGAAATGAAGATGGCCGTCCTGGCAGACGCTTGAAATGGAGAGTAGAAGGGTAGTATGAATTCAAACAGGCTACGTCTATCAGTCATCCTATCTTGGGGCATTTCGTTGACGTCATTACAATGAACCTAAAGTCACATGAATTCCTTGGATTTGAAACTGGCCAAGCGCTCAGAACACCACATTGTTTGATCCATTGAGATTCGCGAAATAAGACATGTGTCTATACCTCAAAAATGGTCGCCGAAAGCTTTCAGAAACAATCTGCCCTGGCACTGCTGGGAGGGAAGATGAACCCCTTTTGTGAGGAATTTGAACACTCATGGGCGGAAACCTCTGCTTCGACTCCTGTTGGCCCGCTGCTTAGGGTCTGGGATCCGTGGTCCGGCAGCCAACCGGCCAAATCAGGCCGGATGCAGGCGCGTTCACCCCGCAAGCCTTTGGATTTGCGGGAGAGCCGGAAGGAGTCACTTGCAATACACGCTGATTATAAAATCTGGGAACCAACGCCATTTATATCCTTCACTTCGTCGATAGAAGGCCTTGAAAGACTCATCTCAAAACGACACTGGCCGGAAAGCACTGCAAGAACATTAACTGTTGTTAATCCAAACGCCCGTCTTGCAAAGGGTCTCCCTATAGTCGAGATGAAATCGGAATTGGAATACTATAATATCCCAGACCGATACGGCTGTTCATATAATTATTACAGAGATGAATATCTCTGCCTGTGGGAGATCACACCGGAAGAGGTTGTCCAACACTGGAACTGGGACGAGCTCTGCGAGAATCCACGTTGGTACGAGGACGAGATACAGCCTGCGTTTAATCAACACAACTGTCATCTTTTAGGCAGAAAGCCGAACCACAGCGCATTCAATATGTCAATGCTACATGATGCTTTACCGAGTGTCGCTCAGACGGTCGAAATGGAGTCGCCCAGAATGGAGACGCCCGAAATGAAGATGCCCGTCCTGGAAGACGCTTGAAATTCGCTCGCTTACGAATTACAAGGTCGCATACGCTGGGATTAAACACGGGCAGAAATACCTTGTCGCAGAGAGGCAATATCCCACTAATCGTGGGTCCGCGACGGTGTTTTCATTTTCGGCAGAATTGTTCAGAAGGGTCGACTATGGCGCTCATAAAACCCTTTATGAACTACTTTCGCAAGATGAGTACGCTCCTTTACAAGAGCTTGCGGAAAGGATATCTCCTAAGGTGGACCGCGTGCAAGCGGCGTACGATGGTATCACATCCAGAGTGATTAGTTTATTACTTCACATCTAACGGGATGCAGGGTCTTTGAATGAGATATCTATATTCATACAACATGGCCCGCAAGTCGATACCATGTTCAGTCAAGAACGCACCTCGATCGCACCGGCAGAACCTGGATTTAGTGAGTAACATTTATGATTTGGTTTCAAATACCCATTTGGTGCTCCGGTGCTTATACCTGGCTAGTCACTGAGATAGTGAATGGTGATGAAGGTTTGTTGTTATCTTTTCCGTTTGATCTAGCCTTCACTAAAATCAAAAACCATGAAGAACATAGCGAATAGTCCTCGGGCGATAGGAGCATAGCCAACGGTGGTCTAGCAGTTAGAACACCGGATCCTTTTCTGCGTCCCGCTACAGATCCAGAATGTTTACATTCTCCGATCACGGCTGGTGAAAATGGACCGGACGGTATTAATTCATGCGAACCTCTGCCACAGCGAAGTGGTATTTCCCTAGGAGAATCCTTTGACGATGAATCATCGCCTAACCCAGTTGTGCGTACTCTGAATGTGGCTCATGGCAATCCGGAGGGACTTGATATACTAGCTCACGCAGCCGAAACGGAACTATCGCACCAGAATATAGCTGACAAAAGATCTTCTGGAGTAATGAATTGCGAGAAGGGAGAAGTCCATCAAGCCCTGGGATCAACTAGTTTGGCTGTCCAAGGTGAAAACTCTTTCCCAGCAAAGACATGCATTCGCTAAGTTGACTAGGGATTCGAACACATGAATTAAACAGCAATGGGAGATCATGCCCTTTGGAAGTGTCAACTACTAGCCCAAGCTCAGTGGGTGTACCTGAATACGAATACTTGACTCTGACTACCTCAGAAAGCAAGTCACCCTTCTGACCCGATGACCTACGGAGCTGCAGGGCTAATAGATTTTATAGACCACAGTTCCTCAATCAAGGGTGCTTTTGCATCTGGCTTGGGTTATGAAGAATCAGCAGTCGCAGCTAGCGTGGAAAGGACCCCTGGTTTTCAGGAAACCTCACCGCTAAATCCCCGGTGTTTCTCTAGAAAGCGACGCTTTGTGGAAATAGGCGACGACTACAATTCTACACCCGGCCTGGCCGCGCAGACCACTGATTCGGGCCGTCCAACTAGAGACACCGGTACTGGGACAAACACTAGTGTTATAGAGGACGAAGGCGAAGAGCGAAGACCCCGCCATATGTTGGATCCAAGCATAGTCGGAATGCGGGAGTTAGAAGTGGGTGAAAGCGAGGCTTCTACTACCCGCGAGCAAGAAGTTTCACAGTTCTACAAAAACAGCAACTTCCAGGCCACATTAGCAGGAACCAACTTGCAATCAGACCCGACTTTGAGCATTAGCCTATTCAGTCAGATCGAGGCAGACCTCACATTACAGCTAACCTTGTTCAACAATCCCGGCGGAATCGCGTCGGATCGAACCCTTAGCAGTGCACTATTTGCCGAGGGTCTTCTTGCTCTATAAGATTTGATGCTCAAGTGTGTTTTTATTTCTTGTATAGTGCCTCCCCCAGGCTTTGGAAATCTAATTACCAAGTCCTCATCCATTATCAGAACCTGGTTTAGACCAAGTTGCAACCCCTCCTCTGGAGCTTGCATAATCTCCTTGACATCCTGCATCTTGTGTGAACCCTTGATGTACCTTGGGAACCCAACATTCTTGGACAGCACATGGTCTACTGCCTTTATCACCAAAACCTTCCCTGGTAGTATTCTCCAAGGCAGAAGGTGAATATCATTCTCCACCATTGACAGTATTACTGTATTCTTTATTGCTTCCTCATATGGACCGCACAGATGGGAGATGAATGGATTGCTTGCTAACTATTAAGTATCAGTAAGATGTTGTGCTCTCAAACAATCAAACTTACATCAACTCCATGATGAAATAGGGCTTTGCATTGCTTTCCAAATTTTCCTAGTGAAATTCAGCCTTCATCAGAAGATTTCTTTATAGATCTTTCTAGAGCATGTTTGTATTCTTTGAATGTAGAGTGTATGAGAATGCTCTCAGCTGGAAGGCAAGAAATTGTGCTAAGAGTAGGATCTTCAGGCATGGTGATTTGGCTGCAGGTGAACCAGACTACAGGCTTGCAAGTCTTGTCAAATTATCTGTGACATGTGATGGAATAGTATCTTTACCTGCTAGGCCCAACTGAAAGACATTGATATTTATCAGATAATACTGTAGAAGTGGTAGCTTTAGTGTGATTTTTGAATTTCCAGAAAAGTGAAATGCTGTCATTAAGAGGGGTAAAGCCAAACATTGTTATGCCAAGATGATTACTTAAGGTACTTAGCTCACCACTCAACAAGCCAAATTACTCAACAAGCCAAATTCCTCCAAATGCTTCATGCACTGAATTTATCACATATCTCAACAACCAGATCTTTATTATTAAAAAGCTATTAAATATTAAATGAGTGTGTTTTTTGAAGCATAGAAACTAGTGTAGCTAGGAAAATAAATAGGTAGACAGCCTAATATTGCAGCCAGAGCAAGAGATTTAAGGGGTAGATAGGAAAAAATTCAAAGAAATATCAACAGTAGATTTCTCAGCTAGGGAGCCTAATATCTTGCTAGAGATGCTTGTAGAGCTCTTACTTTCCCTTTTGAAAGGTTGTATACACTTTCTGTAATAAGGCTCTTTAGTAGCGAAGTTCTTCTGATGGTGCTTTAAAGCCAGTACTTGAAGACCTGACTGCTGGTGTTTAGTAGCACATTTAGCTGTCTGTTTTTTCTTCTCTACTAGTTGTAAAGTCTTCTTCTCCTCACAGGCAATATGTTGTACCTCTCTTTGTATAATATGTTTGATTTTTTCAGTCTCTTGTTGCTTGCAGGCCTTTCTACAGGCATTCTTCTATTCAGTCCACTTTTCTTCAGCATCCTTAGCAGCCTGCTTCTTTTGAAGCTCTTGTTGAAGCTTTGCCTCTTGTGTTTGAGCAATTTTATTGGCTTTCTCAGCCTCTATTTCATTCAGGTGCTCATGTGCCTTAAGAACTTTTGTTGAAGACCAGAACTGTGCTTGACTAGAATTATCCTTATTGAGTAAGCCTAGCAGCTTGCCTTGCTTGCAGTGTTGCTTCTCTGTCACTAGAGTTAATCTTAGACACTAATTCTCATGCTCCAGCAGTTTGTTACTGTAATTTCTTCAGCAGAGATTGAGCAGAGCAATGAGAGAAATTCCTGACTACTATTCTGGATGGTAGCATTCTTTCCAGCTTGTAGGGCTTTAATAGAGACTAATAATTTCCTGGACATGCTCAAGTAGCTGGTTTCTCTCAGCTTACAGCTGCTGCATGTTGAACCCTTCACTATACATAGACTGTGCTATCTCTATATGCACACAGTTAGTATCTTTCTCCAAGGCATGGAGGAAGTCTTCTTTTGATATTACTGTTGCAAAGCTCATGTTCTCTGACTTCCATATTATGAACTTCTGGTCTGATCTTCAGACTTCTCTGCCAGAGTTGAAGCTCACCATTCTGGTATTCAGTATCTGTTTGTCAGTTCATTCATTTGTTTATTTGTTGAAGACTTTAAATGTGAGTCTCTAAAGGGTCAAGATGTTGTAGGTCTTAGTATTATGTTAGAGTTTCAGCTAGGCACTGTAGGAGAAGAATTTCTGTTGCCAACTAGGTAGCTATAATAATGAAATACTAAGACAAGCTCTAGAAAGGGGGCTCAGAGCAAGAACTCACTATATACACTACAAAGCTTCTATGTCAGATAAACATTTATTCTTTTAGCAAACTCTCCACTCTAGGATTTAGAGCTTTGCTGTTAGGTGAACTGGTTGTAGGTCATGTAGGTTTTCCCAGAATTAGGGGTACAAAAGAGCTAAGTAGGTATGATGCCTGCAACTGATGGGAGAGAGTCATGTATAAAATGTAGAGGTTCTCTCACTTGGAGACTGAACACTGGGGTTCCCACAATTCATGTGAATTGTGTGATTCTTATATGTTCAGTATTGGGGTCATGTGAATACCTCTGAACATCTGATATCATCTGATGCTTGGTTGGTCTAGGTCTATGTTTGTAACACTATCCCCCCCCCCAGAGGCCTCAGACTCTGAGGCATAGAGCCACTGAAGTGGTTTTTTGTATGTTGTTGTAGCTCCCCTATTATTAGTGAAGCATTGTAGGTTCTTGGATGTGTAATCTTCTGCATTACTCACTGCTTGTTTATATAGACATTCTGCATGCATATTGCTGCTGGTTGCAGTAGATATTCTTTATTATAGAACAGTAATCATTTTATTACAAAAGTCCAGTATTTTGTCATGTACTTGTTTCTTTGTTTGTTTGCTTGTCTGATTGCTATGTTGTCTGTTGTCCATTGTCATGTTGTTTATTAATAAGTCATGGGACTAGCAATCTTGGTGTATTATGATAGATATAAATAGAGAGTTTCTGACTCTCTTCTTCCTTCTTTTCTTCTGCTTTGTTTGGGCTCAGGTGTTGTTTCTTATTTATTTTATAACTTGTCATGATGTTGTTGTTGAAAGACCCTGTTGTGCACAATAAAGAAGACACTCTTCTGTACTCCATCTGTATTTACTTGATGTTCATGGACTGTCTGGATGAAGGCAAGTCTTGTCTATGAAATGCTGAGAAGAAATCTTGTTCTCATTATTTAGAACATCAAATCTGTACCTGTTGTGATGTAAGTGTATCTTCATCCATTCTTCTTGTTGTTCTGACATGACTGTAGATTTCAGAATCTGCTGCCAAACTAGTTTGTTGGCTCTTGTGACTTCAAGAAGAATATTATAGTTTTGACACAGCCAATCTACATTATCTGTACAATGTCAAGTGCATGAGTATACTCATGCATGAATTTTGTGGGCTTGACTCAGAAGCTGCTAAACATCACTACCATCAAGCCCCTTCTACTGTTAAAGAATCTTTCATGAAACATCATCATCCTGTCTCACATTATGTAGTTAAGACTGTGGACCTTGTGTCTGAGACAGAATCTACCAAAGATAGCTCATCTGAGTTCTCTTGTTTATCAAGCCCAGTTCATACTGTTCTCTCTCAGATAGAAAATGAAGTTGCAAATATTCAAGTCTTGCTTGATTATCTTACAACTTGTTTAATGAGTGGAACCAAAGCTCTTCAAGACAGTACAGAAATCAGTCTTATAGATCTTCTGTACTATCTTACTTGTTCTCAGACTAACTTCTGCTTAGGCCAATCTCATGTCTTTTATTAATTATCTAATCAACATTATTTCTTCTGGTTTTCAGAGTGTTATAGAAATGCTTTGTTCTCTTTATACTTCTTTATCTGTAATGTCTTTTTCTGTGACTGTGTCTTCTGTTATGGTCCTATCTGTTGTTGTATCAAACATACCTGCAACTCCCAAGTCTTGCTTGTCTATGGCTGGTTCACCACCATCACAATCATATCTCAGATGCCCTTGTGGTATATCTTCTTGCTGTTAAATTCTTGATTTTATAGATACATTGTAGTCTTTATGTTTGTTTTGTGTCACATTTATCTTTCTTTCTGTACATAGAGTTGTTTGTCTTCTTGTAATTTTGTCTTTTCTTTAGGTAATTCTTAAGAGTTTCTTGTGCATTTTCAAGATTTTCCTCAGATTCCCATGTTGATTGCTTAATAGAGAATCCTTTCCACTTTACTAGATAACATTTCTTGCAGTAGTGTGCTTTGTTGTTCAAGATTTCATCTACTTCCCACTCATGATAATTGTCTACCAGTACTGTGGGAGGACATGTTGGTGCCTCACTCATTCTTGTGTGATATGGTTTCAACAATGAGACATGGAAAACATTATGAATCTGATAGCTCAGAGAGAGCTTCAGTCAATATGTGTTATTTTCTATAGCCTCTATCACTAAGAAAGGTCCATAGTACTTGTCATCTAACTTCTTGCAAGAACATATTGTTTGTAGGTTTCTTGATGACAACATTACTTCATTATCAGATGCATACACTTTATCTTGATATCTTTAGTTATAGAACTATGCTTGATTCTCTTTTGCTTTCATCAAACATTCTACCAGACTATTTCTTAACATAGAGATCATTCTCAGTCTTCCATCAGGTGCTGTCTGTGCATTATCATTATCATCAACTAACTTCTGAATCTTATCTGGTTCTCTAGGTTTGAAGCTGTACATTGCTTTGAACAGAAACATGTGCATTACAGAGTATTCTAATCTGTTGTATGCAAATTCTGCATACACAAGCTACTTCTTCCAGTTATCTTGTCTATAGCTACAATAGACATAAAGATATCTCTCCAAAATCTTGTTCAGTGTCTTTGTTTGGCTGTCTATTTGTGGGTGGAATACTGTGCTAAGTTTTTGTCTAACTTTCATGTGAAAATATAGCTCTAACCAGTATTTACTTGTGAAAACAGATCCCCAGTCCAAAATAATATTATTTGAAAATCCAAAGTCTTTAAACACTCTTCTGAACAGAAGATTTGCCATCTCTGGTGTGTTAATCTTCTTTCTACATACAAGAAAATGTGCAAGCTTCATAAATTGATTCACAACAACCAGAACTGCATCATATGAGTTCCTCTTCTCTTCACTTGGAGGGAGGTCCATTATAAAGTTCATGGATATTGAACACCAGAGACCACTGGGTGTCAGCAATAATGCAAGCAACTTATATATTTTGTGTGTTGGAGTCTTCTCTCATTGGCAGGTTTGGCATTCACATATATATGTCTGGACATCTTGTCTCATCAATTGCCAATTGTATTTTTACTGGAGCAAGACAAATATCTTCACTATATTAAAGTAACCTGTAAATGAGTTGTTGTGGTGGACTTGTAGTAGTTCCTGTCTTAGAGCCAGATTATTAGAAATGTAGATTCTGCTG